AGACAGACATTTGCCATACATCATGATTACATATTGTATAACATAATATAGGTTAATTTATTGTTTGTCTAACATGCTCATGTTTGAATGGGAAATAATTCTCCATATATATATAATGTATAACCCTCCATCTTGTTCCACAATGTCACAAGCCTTTACAGAGTGGCTGAGAACACCACTGGCAGATGTGCCTGAGTTTGAATGCCATGAAAAAGAAAAAACAGCCATATGATAAAATACTTGCTATGAGAAGACAGTCAAGAAAATAACTTTCTAGCCTAGAGACTGTGTAAAGCATTGGTATGTAACTGCACCACAGAAGCAACTTGGCTCTGGTTGCATTTATCCCAACTTAATACTTAAACAAGTTGGCCCTCTGACTTATGATGTCCAGTGGTTACAAGACGTATGCAAGTATGTATGGCACATGAATAAGCTACAGCCATATTTTATGGATGCACCTCTTATGCCCAGGCTTGCCCATGAATCAGAGGTTGAAACTAATGGGTCTAAGGAAGACAAGACTGTTATGGAGCACCTCAGCTTACCTAATGAGAAAGATGAAGATAAGAGTATTTTTCTGTCTGTGTTTAATAGGTCAGGTGAGGTAGCACTTGAAGAGATGTGGGAAAACTTCAATGGTTAGCTAGGTTGCCAATGATAACCTCCTCATTGTTAATGTTGGTTAACTGGCAAACCAGTTAGGATAGTCATTTGTTTGTGCCACCAATGACTGTATGCAATACTTTGTACAATCATTACTCATGTACTAGTTAGGAGAGTCAATGCCCAGGTATACACTGAAGAAGTTGCCATCACAGCTTGTAGTACCTTTTCCAGTGTTACCACTTGGGCTGTTATTCCTGATAGGGGTGAAAGAGATATATCCATGGCATAACCTCCCCATTTTATGGATTTCTCTATCTGGTGAAGCTCCAGGAAGGTCTTACTGGGACAAGTGATATGGTGGTTTTGCCAGAGGTGAACACATATTTCATGATAATTATTTTGTTCCATGAAACATCATCCAACGATCGTTGTATTTGTTCTCGTGGCACTCCCTCATCTTGTTCTTACACTTGGACTTCGACTTCTTGTTTTGGTCTGAGTTTTCTCCTTTACCTCCACAGGGGTTTGATCTGACTTGGGCTAGGTTGGCTAGATGGCTCCTTTAACTCCATGATCAGAACCCCTAATGGTGATGTGGTGGGCAGTTTTCCTAATGTTACACCATCTGTATTGCTAACCCCACATTGGCAGCCTCCAAAGCTTTTATGTTGGATGCATTGTTGAGCAATGGATCTTCAAACATAAGCTACAACAACAAGAAAGTAAAGCTAGCCCAAATTCTACACACACCAAAACAAGTGAAAAGTCAAAGAGAGAGACTCATAATTAGCTCCATTCTATTATCAGCAGTAATCAGAACCATTTCTACAGCAAAGAGAATAGTGATAACTCCAAATGGCAGGCTGTGAAAAGAAAATAGTCAGAAGAGTTGAGAACTTAATCTTAGTTAGAAAAAGTCGGGGGTTTAAATGCAGGGTCAAAATAACTCCAAGTGATAAAAAAAATTGGTTTTAATAATTCGGCTAAAGTCATCATGAACAAAGTGCAAAAAAATAAAATAAATAAACCTGTGGTTAAAGTACTCGATATCTATAGATTTAGAGGGTGGTGTCTCAGTCAGGATATGCAATGTACTGGGGACCTTGTGCTGAGAAATTTTTGAAACTGCTAAACTAGCGATTCATTTAGATTGGTCATCACATGGGTGTTAATCTAATTCCTCTGACCATGTAAATTCATTACCATCAATGTTTCCTTTCCCATGCGACTTTCTTCAGCTACAGAAAAGAATAGGTACTCCTTGCATTAAGGTGTTACTTCTAGCCTTCAGCGTTATTACATACACAATCCGAATTTTTATGTATTTTAACTGATCTTATACTGAAATTTTTTTAAATATATTCAAAAGACTATGTGATTTGGATATATTTCAATATGCCTAATCTAAAATATTTTAAGTAATCAAATAAATCACTGGGTACACCAAGTTTGCATCTGTTATATTTAATGATACTGTTTATGAATTTTCGCTTGTCGGGATAACTTCACTGCCTGCATTCACATTTCATTTCGAATGAAGTGAAATATTACCAGTCAATGCTTGTGAAACACAGATCATACTGTTACGTCTCCGTGTGTTAATTAATTTTCCGTAACTTCGTACCGACGAAACT